ACTAACGTGTAAACAGCAGCAGAAGAGACGCGCGTCTGCATTTATTAGGCTGATTTACGTGGCTGCCCACCTCGTCCATAGGACCCCGGATCGGTTAGGAGTGGAAATGGGTGGGGGGGGGAGGCGTTGGGTCTTAACGTTTTAAATATTCAGCAGAGTTTGAGAGGGAAAAAAACACGTTTAAAAGTCTTTGGAGTGACTTCTCCCACTTCCTGGCTTCCAGGGGGTGCTAGGCTACAGTTCCCATCCTCCACAGCCAAAGGGGGGCATCTCACAAAGTCAAGGGATTGGTATGGGGTGGGGTGGAAGGGATGGTCATGAAAAGAGGATATTGGAGATTTTAATTACACACACATACGTACACACACATATATATACACATAAATATGCATGTATATGCATATATATATACACACACACGCATAAACACATACACTATATATATATATATATACACACACACACACGTTAAATTTGGATTGCTAACAAAAGAGTTAAACTGTTAAAGGGAAGCTGATATAGCTATTTCTTCCTCCCATATTTGGGCTGACCGGGTGCATCATACAAAAAACACTTACATACACACACATAATATAAATATATATGTATATACATACACACACATATATACTTACACACACACACAAACACATATACATATACACACACACTGTGAAGTCCATATATGTGAAGTCCATATTTGTTTCATCTTTACCCTGCCTTTAGTAACTTTACAAATCACTCAAGGCAGAGAACATGCTTAATACTCCTTCCTCCTCATATTTTCTCCATCACATCAACCCTGTGAGGTGGGTTGGGCTGAGAGAGAGATGGGGGGGAACCGACCCAAAGTCACCCAGCCAGTTTTCCTGCCTAAGTAGCACTTACTGTATCCTGGTTTCTAGCCTGATGTCTTAACTCCTAGACCAAACTGCCTTTGTAAAACTTGGAATCTGGTTAATTGAAGTGAGGCAAAGGAGAAAAAAAAAGGCTTGGGGTTGAAGAAAAAAAATTGAACGGCATCCACAAAGCATGCTAGCAAAACCATCTTTTTGTGCCTTATGCTTCAGGCAAGTTACTGGGTCCCCCCCCCCCTGATGTTAGAATAGAAGCTGTGCAATCCCATTTTAGCCTATCCTGATTCATTGAACAAACCAGTTGGAAAATGAGAGAGATGTATAAATGAAAAGCTTAGGAAGAGTCATAGAGGTGGCCAGTACAGGTAGTCCTTGACTTACAACCATTTGTTTAGCGGCCATTCAAAGTTACAACAGCGCTGAAAAAAGGGACCGTTTTTTCAAAATGATCAAAATTTGGATGGTTGGCAACAGATTCATATTTATGACGGTTACAGTATCCTGGGATCATGTGATCTCCTTTTTGCGAAATGATTAAGAAAAATCAATTTACTTAACCGTGTTAGGAACTTAACCACCTCAGTGTTCACTTAACGGCGTTTAGTAAAGGACTACCTCAACTTAAGGTTTTGTTGTTAACTGGAGCTTTGGGTGTCGGTGGTGATGGAAACAAGGTGGGAAGTTAAGGATATTAGCCGAAAATGAGAAAAATAATAGGACCACTAGGGTATTTAAAAAAAAAGGATAATTCAGAATTTGATTTTTGGTAGAATAGTTTAAGGTCAGTGGAGGTCAGGGAGAAAATAATGATATGAAAAAATGTAATAATTGCAATAACAATTATAGGAAGGAAATTTTTTTGTTGGAAGAAAATGGATTGGGAACTTGGATCAGAAAGTTACAGCAAAGATTTATCTGGATTTTAACTCAAAGTTTAACTCAATTCGGGTCTTACGTTAAAATGTAACAGAATAGTGATTGAACATTTTTCATTGCTAGTTTATATTTCATCCTTGTAGAGACAGAAAGATCTTTGCAAACGGGCCAGGTGTCTTTTTGAATTAGGGCACTGCTTCCATCTGTTTGTGATCGTTGTATACTTTCCGGATCCAGATGGTGCATACGGCAATAAGATTTGAAAAGAGACAGCTTTACCTTAATTGCTGCAGGTGAAATGTTTTGTGTTTCTAGCTTGCCGATGGGAGAGGCCTTTGTTGGGTTTGGTTCAGTCAGTTGGAAGCATTTAATCTCTGGAATGCAAAACCACATTTTAGAAGGATAGATTTCACATTAAGAGTCAGGACCTTTTTTTAAGAGAGTCAAAATTGATTTGCTAGGTTTTATTTGATGCATTCATCACCATCATTTTAGCCGTTATCCACTGCAGGATGAAGGCCTCTTCTGGGCTGTCCTTTGCCAATTGGGCCGCCATACGTGCTGATGTTGTCGCTCCATCTTGTTTTAGGTCTCTTTCGTGGACATTTTGGATCAAGCGGTATCTGTTCTGTGACCGCTTTGGTCCAGCAGCCATCAATTCTTCTTGCTTTGGGACCAGCCCGTTTCCACTTCCGTTCTTCAACTCTCTTTGACGGCATCGTTTTCGTTTGTTCTCTTGTCCATGTGTGGGTCTTTCTATCTTGTCTTGTCATGCCGAGCATGTATCTTCCACGGCTCTTTGCACCACTCATAACTTCTGTATTGTGAGGTTAGTGTCCGTGTTTCACTGGCATATGCTAGAGCAGGTAGCACACACTGATCGAAAATGTTTCTCTTCAGGCCTAGAGGAAGTTTCTTGAAAATTACACTTAAACTTGCCAACCACGTTTAACACGCCGTTCAATTTCCTTTTATTGTATCGCCTTCCATTGGTGTGTTATCGCACCGATATCAGCGACACTGGCAGCTGATAAAGCGCACGCACCCTGCTTGGTTCTTACAAAATGACACACGGCAAACGTGACACTTGCCACTTTTGACAGGTTTTCCAGTGGCTCCTACTTTTTCAGGCTTGCGTTGTGACCCCAAATTGTGAAACTCGGTCCTCGACTTACAAACCTCATTAGGACTCAAGAGTTTCTCTGGCTAAGCAAGACGGTTGTTAAATGAGTCACGCCTGATTTTTACGATCGCCTTTGCTACAGCGGTTAAGCAAATCACAGCAGTTATTAAGCAAATCACCCAGCCGTTAAACGAATCTGGCTTCCCCTGTTGCTTTGCTTGTCGGAGGTCGGCTGGGAAGTTACTTCAAATGGTCACTAAACAAAACAGTCGTACGTTGAGGACTACCTGTACAATATATAGTGTGTACAGGTAGTCCTAAACTTACAATTCATTTACTGACCGTTCACAGTTACAATGGCTCTGAAAAATGTGAATACGACCATTTTTCACAGTTATAACATTTGCAGCGTCCCCTGTGGTCACATGATCAAATTTCAGATACTTGGCAACTGATTCATATTTATGACAGTTGCTGTGTCCCCTTTTGTGACCTTCAGACCAGCAAAGTCGATGGGGATTCACTTAACAACCGTGTTACTAACTTAACAATTGAATAGAGTTGGAAGGGACCTTGGAGGTCTTCTAGTCCAACCCCCTGCAACGATTCACTTAGCAGCTTTGGGCAAGGACAGTCATAAAATGGGCCCAAAGCCATTTAACAAAGGTCTCACTTCTCAGAAAGTTTGGGCTCAATTGTGGTCGTAAGTCGAGGACTCCCTGTATAGAAGTGACTTCCTAGCCAAGCACACACCACGAATTGGGAAAAATGCCCTCGCTTGAACTTTTGAGGGGTTGTAAGGGTTATAGGGAGGTTAAACATATGCTTCTGCCTTGAAATCATCTTAGCTGCTGACTCATCAGCCTGGCAGAAGGTTTTTTATTTTCATTTTTAAAAAAAAAGCATTTCCAAGGCATATTTGTATAGGCTTGTAGTGCTAGAAGCCAGGGGGAAAAAGTAGTAAGAACGAAGCTGTGGGAGACCCAGATTCCTCGTAGGATTTGCTTCCTTGTTCTCAAAAGCTGCACCACGCACATTTCGAATTTCCAAGGAACTGTCTCTGGATAAAAAAAAAAACACAGAACAGTTTAAAAGTGTTTCAGATGAGCTGGAAGAGCACAGGGCCTAACTCTTTAGCAGGGCTGTGCCAAAACGATGCTGCATTAGGAACTACAGTTTGAATTGTTTACTCACAATTTTAAGAAGAAAAAAAAACCCTACACATTTTCATTGGCTTAATCCGCAGAAAGTTTTAACGTATAAAATGGGGCAGTTGTTAATCGGGGAGGTTTTATTCTTGCTTTCTTCAATAGAGCTAAGCTTTTGATTGACAGTTTACTTTAGGGTAGCAGAATCCATAGGATGGTCAAGGTACTCTTATTTTTATTTTGTATTTATTTTATTTTAACCGTACGACTGTGACGGTCACAAGTGGAAGCACTGGACCCAAGTCTCTTTTTCAGCAATGTAACACCAAGGGGTCGTTAAAACAAATGGTTGTAATTTGAGGACCACCTATATTCCAGGCCTTGTAGAAAGTGTGGTCTACAGGTAGTGGTCAAGTTACAGCAGTTCATTTAGTGACCGTTCGAAGTTACAACGGCACTGAAAAAAGTGACCTAGGACTGTTTTTCAAACTAACGTCACGTCCCCGTGATCACATGATCAAAATTCAGAGGCTTGGCAACTGGCATGTACTTAAAGTGGTTGCAGTGTCCTGTGTGTTTGTGACTTCATGACAAGCAAAGTCATTGGGGAAGCCAGATTCACTTAACAACTGTGTTACTAAACAACTGTGGCAAGCAAGCTCTTAAAATGGGCAATATTCATTTACCTGTCTCGCTTCCTTCAGTTGGGGTCAATTGTGGTCGTAAGGCGAGGACTGCCTGTACTGCGGAAGAAGTCTTAATAGATGGGGAACTGTTCAGTTCTGTTTGTGTGTTGTGTCTTAGCATTTCAACCCTCCTGGTTGCAGAGGAAATCCAGTAAAGGAAAGGAGAAGAAGCAGAAACGGATGGAGGAACGGGCAGCCATGGACGCTGTCTGTGCCAAGGTTGAAGCAGCAAATAAAGTGAGTTTTCCCCCCCCTCTTTATTATTTCATGATGCCAGTTATGTCTTATCTTTCAGCTTCTCCCAGCACCCTTGCGGCTGCAAAAAAAAAAACCACGTGTAAAACTAAATTAATAAAAGTTAAAATCTGCAGAACGATGTAGTGCAGAGGGCAGCTTTAAGCCTTGTGGACTTCAACTCCCAGAATTCCACAGCTAGCTGGGGAATTCTGGGAGTTGAAGTCCACAAGTTTGAAAGAGTTGCCCATGTTGGACACCCTTGATGTAGTGATTAGGAAGGAAACTCAACTTCTGGTTCTTGAAACCTACTACCTCTATCCTGAAACTTACTGAACGGTTTTACCCCAAGAATTGCATAATTTAGAAATTGCACAAAGTGTGTGTGTGGAGGGGGAAACTTCCCTTATAGCAGGGGTGTCAAACTCAATTTCATTGAGGGCCGCATCAGCATTGCGGTTGCCCACGGGGGTGTGTGTGGCCAGGGTGGGTGTGGATGGAGTGGATGTGGCCTACTGGGTGGGCATGACTAGCTCTACATCGTTCATGTCAAGGGTGCCTGTGGGGGCCTGGGCAGGAGTGGGACAGATCTGAGGGTCTCTGGCAGAAGGGGGTGGGACCGGGGCAAGCGCCAAGGCATGGTCCATTTCTTCATTCCTCACAAAGGCTGACCCCTCCCCAGCATGCACCCAGGGGATGGGGCCGACGCGGCAGGGGCTGGTTCCTCGCTGTTTCTAGACGGCCTTGTGGAGCTAAGACTGAATGTGTTTCAGCATAGATGGCCACCACAAAATTGTACATTGGCTCCCAGCTGGCCTGGGCCAGGACCAAGGCAGTGGGGCCGTTCCCTCTCTGTTTCCAGGATGGCTTCGCGGGCCACATGAAACCACTTCGCGGGCCGCATCCGGCCCCCAGGCCTTGCGTTTGACATGTCTGCCTTATAGGCTTCCACAACTTCTGGAGACAAGCCATTAATTGTTCTCATTGTCAGGAAATCTCTCCTTATTTCTTAGATCTCTCCTTGATTAGGTTTCCATCCCTTGTTTCTTGCTGGTTTGGAGAAGACGTGGGCTTGATCGCTCTTCCGACATCAACTTTTTAGTTTGTCTAATGCCTTTCTTTCTTTCTTTCTTTCTACAGCTGGGAGACCCTTTAGAAGCTTTTCCCGTGTTCAAGAAATACGACAGAAACGGGTCAGTAAAAAAGCCCAATGTCCTTCCTTCTTTCTTTTTTTTTTTTGAGGCGAGAGATTCGAACTCGGGCCTCTCCCTCCGCGATAAATAATTGCAAAGCGTCGCTCTTGTCCTGCTTGCGGCTGCTTGGCCTGGATTTACTCGCAATGCTTCATTTCCACAAATTATTTATTTTTATATTTATTTACTTTAGAAAACTGATACAGCCGCCTACTCGCTCCCAGCGGCTCTAAGGGGGCATACAAACAATAAGAAACAGTATATTTAAAAAAAAATAAAATTATAATATAAATAAAAAAATGATAAGCCCACCCACCTCCTAATAAATAAATAATCCCTGATTATGTCTTGTTTTTTTCTTCCTTTTGCTCTTTCATTACAGGCTGAATGTTTCCATCGAGTGCAAACGAGTCTCCAGTTTGGAACCGGCTACTCTGGATTGGGCCTTTGAGCTGACTAAAACGAACATGCAGACCTTGTAAGGGCCCTAAAGATACCCAGGGATAATAATGGGAGGCCGGTGGGCAGCCATAACCAACAATTGTGGCATGAGCAAAAGCTGGTTCAATCTCACCCTCTCTGCTTCAGGAGCCCAAATATTCAGTTTGCAAGAGGGGGAAAAAATTGCTCAATAGTACAGGTGGTCCTTCACTTACAACACTTTGCTTAGTGACCGTTCTAAGTTACAACAGCGCTGAAAAAGTGACTTTTGACGCCTTTTCACACTTACAACCGTCGCAGCATCCCCGGGGTCACATGATCAAAATTCGGACGCTCAGCAACTGACTTGTATTTATGACAGTCGCAGCGTTCCCCTGGGTCACGTGATCCCCTTTGGTTCACTTAACCACTGTGGCAAGAAAAGTTATAAACTGGGGCAGAAGTCGCTTAACAGGTGTCTCGCTTGCTGTTAGTTGCGAAGTCGTGTCCAACCCATCGTGACCTCATGGACAACGTTCCTCCAGGCCTTCCTGTCCTCTACCATCTTCTGGAGTCCATTGAAGCTCATGCCTCCTGCTTCAGTGACTCCATCCAGCCACCTCGTTCTCTGTCGTCCCCTTCTTCTCTTGCCCTCCATCTTTCCCAGCATCAGACTCTTCTCCAGTGAGTCCTTCATTCTCATTAGGTGGCCAAAGTACTTGAGTCTCAACTTCAGGATCTGGCCTTCTAAAGAGCAGTTGGGTTGATCTCCTCTAGGACTGACCGGTTGGATGGCCTCGCAGTCCAGGGGACTCGCAGGAGTCTTCTCCAGCCCCAGAGTTCAAAGGCCTCCATTCTTTGGCGCTCAGCCTTTCTTACGGTCCAACTTTCACAGCCATACATTGCAACTGGGAAAACCATGGCCTTGACTCTACGCACTTTTGTTGGCAGGGTGATGTCTCTGTTTTTTAGTATGCTGTCTAGATTTGCCATAGCTTTCCTCCCCAGGAGCAAGCGTCTTTTAATTTCTTGGCTCACTTAGCAACAGAAATTTTGGGCTCAGTTGCGGTTGTAAGTCGAGGACTACCTGTACAAGGATCAGTTGTAAGTCATTTTTCATCGTTGTAACTTGCAACGGTCAGTAAACGAACGATTGCCGGTCAAGGATTACCTGTAGTGACTCTATGGAGAACCTGAGTGCAGAGACCCTTCTGAAAAAGATCATTACAGAAGGATTCCCAATCTCCCTGGACAGAAGGTTGTTGATCCTACCCTGAAGGACGTTCTCACTTCTCTCTTTTTTTTTTCCTTGTCCGTCTTCAAAGGTATGAGCAGAGCGAGTGGGGGTGGAAAGACCGGGAAAAACGGGACGAAATGACCGATGACCGGGCTTGGTACTTAATCGCTTTGGAAAACGGCTCCCTTCCGGTGGCGTTCTCGCACTTCCGCTTTGATGTCGAATACGGAGAGGAAGTTCTCTATTGGTAGGGCTTCCCACTTGGAATTTTGGCTACTGGATTGTTGGCTTCATCAGACCGGGAGGCCTGATAGACAAGAGCAGAATAGCAATAGCATTTAGACTCATATACTGCCCCATAAGACTTTACAACGCTCTCTGGGCGGTTTCCAATGTCAGCATTATTTGCATCTCCCCCCCCCCAACAATCTGGGTCCTCATTTTACCAAATTGGGAAGGACGGAAGATTGAATCAACCTTGAGCCAGTGAGAATCGAACTGCTGGCAGTCGGCAGAGTTAGCCTGCAATACTGCATTCTAAGCACTGAGCCACCACAGCAGAAGAATAGAATAAGAAATAGAATAGAATAGAATAAAATTAGAATAGAAAAGAAATAGAAGAAGAGAAGAGAAGAAAAATAGAATTAGAATAGAATAGAATAAAATAGAATAAGAATAGAATAAAGAATAGAATAGAAATAGAATAGAATAATATAGAATAGAATAAGAATAGAAAAGAATAGAATAAAAATAGAATTAGAATAGAATAGAATAGGAGTAAAATAGAATAAGAATAGAATAGAATAGAATAAAGAATAGAATAGAACAGAAGAATAGAATACGAATAAAATAGAATAAGAATAGAATAGAATACAAGAAAATAGAATAGAAGAAAGAATAGAATAGAAAGAATAGAATAGGAGTAAAATAGAATAGAATAGAATAGAATAGAATAGAATAATATAGAATAGAAGAATAGAATAGAATAGAATAGTAGAATAGAATAGAATAATATAGAATAGAAGAATAGAATAGAATAGAATAGTAGAATAGAATAGAATAATATAGAATAGAATAGTAGAATAGAATAGAATAATATAGAATAGAATAGAAGGATAGAATAGTAGAATAGAATAGAATAATATAGAATAGAATAGAAGAATAGAATAGCAAGCACTGACGTCAAATTAAAACAAAAATGTTTTCGTTTTAAAACAAAAGATCGTTGATGACTCTGCTGGGATGTTGGTATTTGCCTGTTTATTTCTCTCTTTCTTCTCCTAGCTATGAAATACAGCTGGAGAGCAAAGCAAGAAGGAAAGGTCTTGGCAAGTTCCTCATTCAGATCCTGCAGCTTGTGGCAAACAGGTAGGGCTGTGCTGCCCCATAATTCCTGAGCTAGAAACCGCCCTGATCTCACTGGAGGAGTCCCTGCGGATTTCACTCCGCTAGTCGTGGTCCGACTATAACGAGCCGGCGCTGCCCGAAGACATTTTCCGCGGTCACGTGGCCAGCAGGATGTCAGGGAGCGCTCTGACCTTCCCACTGAAGTGGTACCTACAGTATTTATCTACTTGCATTTGCAGGCTTTCAAGCTGGTAGGTTGGCAGGAGCTGAAGCAAGGACGGGAGCTTACCCTGTCGCTTGGCTCTGGGTCTCAAACCTGGGCTGCTGGCTTTCCAGCTGGCAAGCCCAGGGTCTTAACTGCTGAGCCACCCACTGGGGCAAACTTTATTGATGTTTAACAAAACTAACTCTCAACATTAAAAACTGATATTCCAGCCTGAATGTTACAGTTATTAACGTAGCCAGGGGCGGGCTCAATATATTTCTCGTTTATTCTTTACTAAACAGACATCTCCACGATTGACGTACTGATGAGGACATACAGTATTGCATTTCTTACAGTCCTGCAGTCATAAGGACTAGAGCCACGATCCACAAGCAAAGCCAAGCACGCTTAACACAGGGCAGACATATCAGAACACAAGATAATCACTCCCAGGCACGGATGCAGCCTTTAACACAAACACTTTGTGGCTGGTTTCTTATTGGAGCCTTCAAAATGCTTGGATTTTAAAACTTCTGCTTAAGCAATTAGTACCGGATTAGATTTGTTCAAGATTTACAGTGCTGTGGGAGTTAAAATTCAGTGGCAATAAGGCTTGACGTGCCAGGTGGAAAGGGAATAGGATCATTCTTGGCTAAATACACTGAAGCACGTTTAATTTCTCTCCTTTCGTGTAGAACTAGACATTAATTCAAAAGGTGGAGCTTCTTAGGAACGGTGCTGAATTTTTTTTCTTGTTTTCCCTTCCTGTTTTTCCCTCAACCCGTTCTGAGTTTGGCTCTCCCTGACTTTTCTTAGCACACAGATGAAGAAAGTCATGTTGACGGTCTTCAAACATAATCACGGAGCCAACCAGTTCTTCAGAGATGCTTTACAGTAAGTAAAAGATTTAATTCTTCTCTCGGCGAGGCAGAAAGAAGAAGAGGATGGCTGGATAATTGGGGGTTTTAAACAAAATACCCTTTTAGGGCATCGCCTCTTTGCTTAGATTAATTAGTTAAAATTACTTTGGCCAACAACTAGACCAGGGGTAGGCAACCTGGGCTCTTTTAGGACTCATGGACTTCAGCTCCCAGAATTCCTGAGTCAGCTATGCTACGCTGACTCAGGAATTCTGGGAGTTGAAGTCCATGAGTCCTAAAAGAGCCGAGGTTGCCTTCCTCTGAACTAGACCATTTCCCCAGATACGATCCAACTTCTGTTGATAAAACACCTGCTGGAAGGTCCTGCTTTTTTTAAAAAAGAAATTGTCCTGACCCTTTAGATTTGAAATAGACGATACCTCACCGAGCATGTCTGGCTGCTGTGGAGAAGACTGCTCCTACGAAATTCTCAGCCGAAGAACAAAATTTGGGGAGGGCCAGCAGGCCCACTTGGGCACGCAGTGTGGGGGCTGCTGCCACTGAGGGGCTCCGTGGCTCCCCGAAAGAATCCGCCACTCTCCAGGTAGGCCTGCCTTCCTCGTGGCTTCTCTTGACCTGTCTCAGTTCTGGCTGCGCTCTCGAGTCAAGAGGGACAGAACTCCTGTGTTACTACATCCCAGGTGCCGGGATCCGAGGTTTTCCTCCCTATCGGAGGTCCTTTAAATCGAAGCCGAGTCGTAACTTTAGGCCTGATCTTGCTTACCTACCTGCAGCCTTGAACCGAAGTGGGAATCAGTGAGATTTTTTTTTCTCTCTCTCTCTGTCTCTTTTTTTTTTCCATGGAAAATTTATGGGGTTCCTGCCTAAAGCCGTTGACGAGAATAGTGGATAAAGGATAGACTTTGGGGATGGCAGATCAAGGCCACTGGTGACAGTTCTGTATTACTTTTGTGCCTGCTTCCCACTTTTGTTTTTGAATAGCTGCAAGACGTGCGTTTATAATTTTGTCAGATGACTCCAGTGGGTTTTAAAAAGAAAATTTGCTCCCTTTAAATCAGTCCCTGGCTGTGCGTTTCAAAGCAACTCTGGCTGTGTGGGCTGATAGGAGGAGGAGGGATCCACACAGATTTTTAGAATGGGATCCTAAGTAACCTGGTGCATCTGGTTAGACCTCCCTCCTTGTTCATTGGGGACAATATCGGCGTGAATGGATTACTCCGAGCAATCTGGACCTCCAGTCTGGACCTCCAGCCTAAACTAAGATTGTTTGATTTTCCTCTTGGCCATCTGCATCGGAAACAACTCAAGAGTGGTTTCGTTGTCCGAAAGTCCCAGTAGAAGCAATTGTGCAAGCGCAAAAAAAAAAAAAAATCAATTTCACCATGAGTTGTGTGTTGTTATTGTTCAGGAGACCCTGTAGTCATTGGTTTTGGAGTTAAAAATGGCAAGCATTACATTACCCCATCAAAGATACATTGGTTTATATCCACATCTTGATTTTCCTCAGATTGTCCATTGATGGGATTTCTCCCTCAAAAAAAGGGGAAGGGGGTTGGTTGAGCATGTTGAGTGTGGCCTGCAAAATGCTTTACAATTTGAGGCTGAAATGACACTGTTGTATTTCTTTGTGTATCTATTGGGTGTTTTGTTATCTCTCTCTTTTTTTTTTTTTTTTTTGCATTTTGGGGAAGTTTTGTTCCACAAAGCAAATTTTGAGATAACGACTCTTTTTAGCCAGTAACTTTTTGCTGAAATCAAAGGGAACAACTCGGTTTGTTTTTAAATGAAAAGATTCACTTTTTTGTCTGTTTTCAAAATAAAGGTTCTGTTTGATCTCCAGCAGGTTGCAAGTGTATCTGTGTTCTCAAGGATAGCTTCCTTTGTAATGTATTTTGGACCTCTTTTTAGAGTGCTGGAATGCTCTGCTTTTTCTAAACATAATAGAACATCTATATTGCATAATCGGAGATGTTTTTCTCTCTCCCGCCTGAGTACTTATATACGCACCACTTTATAAAAAGTCACAGTTCCAAATGAAGAACCGCAAATTCTGTTCTTTGCCGTCCTCCCAAGATGGTCAGGCCTGTTAAAAATGGGCATTTGAGTCTGCAAATGAGATGCAAGTAAAAAGATTTTTTTGAAGAGATCCCTTTGTATGTTGAAAATAAGCTTTCTGTTGTGACTAAACATTGTCTTTTAAAAGTGCCTCCTGTAGCCACTGGTCACACTTTTGTATTTTAAAATATTTTTCTGTCTTGTTAATGGGGAGCCTCTTTTCGTGTTGATTTCTGGCCGACAGGATTATAATAGTTAATAGAGTTTTAAGAGGAAAATAAGGTTTTGGTCTGGAAATTGCATCTCTCTTTTCTACCTGTGGCTATTCCATTAGCTGTGGAAAGGATCTACAAGTCCATGCTGGCTAGAGAATTCTTGGAGTTGAAGCCCACCCCTCTTAAAGCATGCTGGCTGGGGAATTCTGGGAGTCAAAGTCCACCCCTTAAAGCAGTGTTTCTCAACCTTGACAATTTTAAGGCATGTGGACTTCAACTCCCAGAATTCCACAGCCAGCAATGCTGGCTGTGGAATTCTGGGAGTTGAAGTCCACATGCCTTAAAATTGTCGAGGTTGAGAAACACTGCCTTAAAGCATGATGGCTAGGGAATTCTAGGAGTTGAAGTCCACCCCTCTTAAAGGAGGCTGGCTGGGGAATTCTGGGAGTTAACATCTGTCCATCTTAAAGCATACTAGCTGGAGACTTCTGGGAGTTGAAGTCCACACATACACTCATTAGGGAATTCTGAGAGTTGAAGTCCACACCTCTTCAAATGGGCCACAGTTGAGAGACATTGGCTTAAGATGATAGATGATAAACAATAGATGTAAAGATAAGAGAGAGATAGAGTGAGTGAGTGAGTGAGTGAATGAATGCTGGGATTCAAATAGGTGAACAACCGGTTCTCTGTGTGGATGATGCCACTTCCGGAAGTCCATTCTGGGCCTGGGCAACAAAAAATTAGCCACCGGTTCTGCCGAAGCGGTGCAAACCGGCTGAATCCCACCACTGGTTGTAAGCCGAGGACTACCCATATCTGCCTTTTCCGAGAAAGGAAACCAGCTGTGTATTTGTGTGCATTGAAAGCTTGGGATTTGATCCCTCTTCAACGTTCATTGCTAGAAATTGTTTGGATACCTGTTAACAAATATATAATATATATATATATATATATATAAGTCTCAAAACAAATATATAATAAATATATATATATGTCTCAAAAAGTGTGATACGGATTCCCTTTTGACACATTTTGGGAATCAAGGCGCGGTGCGCTCTATACAGAACGGAGAAGTTTGCTAAACGCTAGAGCGGTCGTACTCTATGGTTATCTGGTCCACGGGTAGCCGGGCCCGCCTCCATGCCTGGCCGGAAATCTGTGCTACACCTGCCCGCTTCTCTATGGAATCTGCATTGGCCAGTGGAGGAGCCGCAGCTCCTTTCAGCGGAAGTGGAGGCTTTCCTTAGCTTGCCGGCTGGAGCCGCTTCCGGTTTAATCTTCTTCCGGCCTTGGCCGTGGAGGGAAGAAGGGGCCGCTTGGTGTAGGCAGAGATAATAGATTAAAGGTAAACATCTGATAAAAAGGTATAAAGCATATAGAGCTGACCTCCAAGATAATAATCTGAATGCAGATTAGCGATAAACATCTAGATAATATACATTTATACATCCCATACATTTTGCGATGCTTCCAGTTAATTGCGAATAAGCAATATTGTAAAATTGGGCTCACAGTTCGCTTTTAGTGATCCCTGGATAGATAGATAGATATAAACTGTCTTTTTTATTATTTTTTGAGGAGGGAGTGATCAAGCTTTGGTAATTGGGTCTACAGTAAAATCTCTGGATTGGCAAAGCATTAATAAGTGAATATACAGTTTGCTTAGATTATGGCTTCTTATAGGCTGAATCAGTGCAGTACTAATCAGGTTTATTTTCAGGACAGTTTTGTGGCTAAATCATACTTGGTTTGTTATCACACAACGTAGCATCAGCCATGTTTTCAAACCTTTATAGCTAAAGGGATATATGAGATTAATCCAAAAATAAACTCCAATCTGGTTTTAGCATGCTTTTATAGAGACAGATTGCGCTGTTTTCTGCTTCTTTAAAAGTTGCAAAAAGGCTATAGAATAATGGTCGTGAATTTTGTTGTGAAATATGTTATCTTGGAACTGCCTAAGNGCCTCCCACTCCTAACTCACCGAGACGCCGCAGCATGATACCGTGGTCCACGGTATCAAAAGCCGCTGAGAGGTCCAAAAGCACAAGGACAGAGGAATAACCCCTGTCCCGGGCCCTCCAGAGATCATTCACCAACGTGACCAATGCCGTTTCCGTGCTGTGTCCCGGCCTGAAGCCCGACTGGTATGGGTCTAGATAGATAGAGTGAGCGAGTGAGTGAATGAATGCTGGGATTCAAATAGGCGAACAACCGGTTCTCTGTGTGGATGATGCCACTTCCGGAAGTCCATTCTGGGCCTGGGCAACAAAAAATTAGCCACCGGTTCTGCCGAAGCGGTGCAAACCGGCTGAATCCCACCACTGGTTGTAAGCCGAGGACTACCCATATCTGCCTTTTCCGAGAAAGGAAACCAGCTGTGTATTTGTGTGCATTGAAAGCTTGGGATTTGATCCCTCTTCAACGTTCATTGCTAGAAATTGTTTGGATACCTGTTAACAAATATATAATATATATATATATATATATAAGTCTCAAAACAAATATATAATAAATATATATATATGTCTCAAAAAGTGTGATACGGACTCCCTTTTGACACATTTTGGGAATCAAGGCGCGGTGCGCTCTATACAGAACGGAGAAGTTTGCTAAACGCTAGAGCGGTCGTACTCTATGGTTATCTGGTCCACGGGTAGCCGGGCCCGCCTCCATGCCTGGCCGGAAATCCGTGCTACACCTGCCCGCTTCTCTATGGAATCTGCATTGGCCAGTGGAGGAGCCGCAGCTCCTTTCAGCGGAAGTGGGGGCTTTCCTTAGCTTGCCGGCTGGAGCCGCTTCCGGTTTAATCTTCTTCCGGCCTTGGCCGTGGAGGGAAGAAGGGGCCGCTTGGTCTAGGCAGAGATAATAGATTAAAGGTAAACATCTGATAACAAGGTATAAAGCATATAGAGCTGACCTCCAAGATAATAATCTGAATGCAGATTAGCGATAAACATCTAGATAATATACATTTATACATCCCATACATTTTGCGGTGCTTCCAGTTAATTGCGAATAAGCAATATTGTAAAATTGGGCTCACAGTTCGCTTTTAGTGATCCCTGGATATATATATATATATGAACTGTCTTTTTTTTATTATTTTTTGAGCAGGGAGTGATCAAGCTTTGGTAATTGGGTCTACAGTAAACTCTCTGGATTGTCAAAGCATTAATAAGTGAATATAGTTTGCTTAGATTATGGCTTCTTATAGGCTGAATCAGTGCAGTACTAATCAGGTTTATTTTCAGGACAGTTTTGTGGCTAAATCATACTTGGTTTGTTATCACACAACTCATCGTAGTCGGTACAAAAGTTTGGAAATATCGATTTCCCTATATACTCTAATTAGGTTTTTATTTGAGGTTAGACCAAAATCGTACGAAAATATCTCTGTCTAACGCGACAAAAGACGAAGAAATTTTCAACGTTTTTCCGATATCTTATTACCAGCACTTAAAACAACACTTTATACAATAGAACCTTGACGGATTCGAAGAATCCCGCCTTAATTTGCTTTCCTGAATGTTTTAATAAATTATAATAACTTTTGAATAATGATAACAACATTGAATAATTCCTTTGATATTAGTAAAAGCCCTTAAATGTTATTTCCATGTTTCTTTTAATTTTTGCTTGTTTTCACCAAAAGTGTTGCTTGAAATGGATAGTAAACAATTTTATGTGCAAAATTTGCAAAAGGAGGGAAGAGATACCATTTGACAATCTGAATAAATGTTTGCTAATTATAAATAATCCTACATTTTGTCTAACTCTTTGTGTAATAGGATAGGAAAAACTCACACATTTTGCAACGTTTCCAGTTAAGTTGTGAATAAGCAAATTTAATGAGTGTTAACGATAGTGCTGATCTGCTGAAGAACACATTAGCACAGATCTCATTGTTGCTGAAAATATATTTGTTTTGAAATAAACACCTTAACAGTCCAGTGCAGCAAAAGCAGCTTTCACCTGTTATACAAAATGGGATACGTTGTGAAGATGGGTTGTGAAATGTTAAGATTTGCCACATCCTGTGTGTGACAGGGCAAATATTTTGCAAAGAGGTGGTTACCACACATTGGACTTGCCTTAAAAAATAGTAACACATGATTTTTAGACTTAGCAGCAGGGCTAATGGCTTATGCCAAAGGAAGACCGTTCATCGCCCTGCTTTTTTGCACCTTTGATGGAAGCCATTAACTGTGGCCTGCAAATTACAGTGGTAGGAATGTTGTGCTGTAATTAGAACCAATGTGGTCTGGTGGTGAAGACACCAGAGTAACGTAGAAGCCAGGAGTCTTGCCTTAGGCACAAAAGCCATCAGGGTTACTTTGGGTCAGTCCGCCCAGCCCAGCCCAGCCCAGCCCACTTCACAGGGTTGTTGTGGGGAAAATAGAAGGAGGAAGGCGTATTAGGTACGTTTGCTGTCTTGGGTTATTTATAAAAATAAGGCAGGATTTTAAAAAAATCCTAAAACCTACATTATAATGCAGTAATCTATGCCAAAAGTCCATATTATAGTTTAGGGCAGGGGTAGGCAACCTTGGCTCTTTTATGACTTTTGATCTTCAACTCCAACAATTGCTGAACCAGCCATGCTGACTCAGGAATTCTGGGAGTTGGAAGTCCACAAATCATAAAAGAGCCAAGGTTGCCTTCTTCTTCTTCTTCTTGTGCCATATCCGTTATCGGACGTTGGCGATCATGTTTTTATCAGCAGCCCCACGAAAAAGTGCTGCTGAGTTTTGTCCAAACCAATCCCTTAGATTTTGAAGCCACGATGTTCTTCTGCCTGGACCTCGTTACCTACCTCTGGTTTAGGGCAATGTTTCTCAATAACTTGAAGGTGTGTGGTATTTGAAATGTCAGCAATGGAGGAACGCAATTCGGAAAACAGCATTTTACACACACACACACACACACACACACACACACACACACACACACAGAGTTTCTATCCCACGTGGCTTGATGAACTCAGGGAACATTGAATAACAGAGTTGGAAGGGACCTTGGCGGTCTTCTAATCCAACCCCCTGCTCAAGGCCTACGGACACTCAAGACGTTTATATATTTACTAAATCTGTTTGCCGCCCATCTCACCACAAGGTGACTCTGGGCGGCTTTAACAATGATAAAAAGAAAACAATTCAAAAAAAGGCGTATATAATAAAAGCAAAACACTATGAAAATCCCAAATATCAACAACTAAAAGGTGGGAAGGAATAATCGTGTTATTCAGGGGTCTTCAAACGTGGCCCTTTGATGACTTGTGGACTTCAACTCCCAGAATTCCTCAGCCAGCGTGCCTGGCTAAGGAATTCTGGGAGTTGAAGTCCACAAGTCATCAAAGGGCCAAGTTTGAAGACCCCTGGTCTTATTACTCAATAATTGTTTGCAGCTATTTTGAGGGTTGGTCTTAATCAAAAGCAACTTTAATTAACGGTTTAAAAAAAAAAAAAACCTTCCCCCCCCCCCCCAAAAAAGGACCCCCAGCAGCTTTGCCAAAGCAGCCTCGGCCTCCCTGACTGGGGAAGGGCGCACGTGGTGGGCGTGGCCGGGAAGTGACGTCAGCGCCTGAGCGCACGTGCGGCCCGTGTTGTGATGGCCTCACAACCGCTGGCATGGCGACGGCCCCCCCGATTGTGGAGCCGGGGGGGGCAGAGCCTCCTTTCCTCCTCCCCCCACCCCAGCGCTTAATTATCATCCGGGATGTTGCGGAGGGGGCGGCGGTTGCCATGGAAAGAGAAGGCGGCCTAAGCGCTTCCGGGGCGCCCGCCTCCGACCCGGAAGCGCCTCCTCCCTGCAGGGTTGCCAGCGCGAAGATGGCGGCGGAGGAGCCTCAACAACAGCCGGAGCCCGTCGGGGGGGACACGGACGGTGAGGACGGAGCGGGGGGGCTCCGCCGGTTTTCGGTGGGAGGGGCGCGGTGGGCGTCGTAAACTCGGGCGAAGCCCCCTCCCGGCTGGGGGGGCATTACTCTGGAGGGGGGGCTTCTTCTGGAGCCCCCCCAGCAGAAGCGCCGACGCTGCCCCCTCCTCTTCCTTCCCCCCCCCGCCCGTTTAGCTCGGTCTCCTTGGCAACCGGGGGAGGGGCTCCCGCCCCCTCGGTCTCCTCGGAAACGCCCCCCAAAGGCCGCCTTCTTTCCCCCCGTCCCCGTCGCCATGGAAACCGGCGCACCTGGCCAGGAGGGGCTCGCGTCCAGGGCGCCCCGCCGGGGTAAAACTGCAGCTCCCATCCGTCCCGGCGGGCCCCCTGTGGATGATGGGCGCTGGAGGAGGCCTGCCTGCCTCCCTCCCTTTCCCCGGAAGCCCCGCAGGGGCGATGGCGGCGTCCCCTTCCCCGGCTGCACCGGGCGGGGTCGGGCTTAACCCCGGTGGTCGTGAGGATGCTCCCTAGTTGGGCCACGAGACGCCCGCAAGGAAACGGCCCCCAGCCCGGAGAGCCCCGGGGACCCCCCTCATTTGCACCCCCGGCTACAAATAGCCTCTCCCCTCCACTCTGTATGCATAAATGGATAAACAGAGGGAGCAACCCCCCCCCACACACACACACATAGCACGGATGATGTTCCCTAGTCTGGTCATGAGACGCCTGCAAGGAAACGGCACCCGGCTCAGAGGGCACCAAGCATCCCTCAGCTCAGCCCTGAGCTAGAAATATTCTCTTTTATCAGTCCTCCTATTTGCACATTTTAGAAAGGTGGGATGGAGTCATGCATATTCATAGGTAAATAAGCCCTCATTTCAACCCCAAACTGCCAATATTCTCCTTTATAGGCTTCACCTTGTCTCAGGGGGCGCTTCTGGTTGAAGTGGGTTCTCCCAGCCTTTCCTTATGGGATGAGTCTACAGAATAACAGAGCTGGAGGGGACCTTGGAGGTCTTCTAGTCCAACCCCCTGCTCAAGCAGGAGACCCTATGCCATTTCAGAAAAAAATGGTTGTCCAGTCTCTTCTTCAAAACCTTCAGTGATGGAGCACCCACAACCTCAGGAGTCTGGGATTCATGCAACTTGCTTGAAAATCCCGTTATCTGCATTTAGACTATTTCCTCAAGTTGGCTCCTTTTAACCTTGGCTTGTTCCTTTTGGCATTATTCTCCCTTGCTCTTTTTTACCCCCAAATATTAGGTGATAAAACAGCCCCTTTGCTCGATGTTGCTCTCTTGAATTAGCTTGCAAACTAACGGTTCTGTTCTTCTGATTCTAACTCCTGTAAAACTGTGACACTCGTTCGCTGTCTGATATATTGCATGATTATGTGAGAACTGCGCCTGTCTTAACAGGGTCTCTGTTTGGGCCACCGCTTTATGCCATGATCCGCTTTTTAAACTTTGAATGTGCTAAATGAATGTGTGTGTTTTGTGGACCGTGTGTTTTGCGCTTAATTCTCGGTGTTGAAAAACATGGTTGTGGGTTAATAAAAGTCAAATTTATTCCAGGTTTTAGGCAGTCTGATTAAATCAGGATTTATTTGCTCAGGTATATAGCATGTTACCCGAATACAGCCATGGTTTCTAGCTAACTGAGGATTAGCATGTTGTGTGAAAACACCCAGGAATAATCTTTCCTTTTTATCATGATTTCTCCTTATACTCCTCGCACGTCAATTCATGATTTTTCCTCCCCATACTCTGGTTTTTGTTAAAGTGTTTTTTAAAAATGTAATTTTCTATTCGAAGTGTGTATAAATGATCCCTTTTGTCTAATGTTGCCTTATAAGACAATCTCTGTGTTATAGATGGAAGTTTGTGCAGAATAATAGGAGTAGGCTTGATGTGAAACTGAACTTTATTGTGTCTGTAACATCCTGGCCAAAATGTGCCATGTGATACATAGTCTGTGTCTATCTTTGTTATTAATGCATGATTAAACTGGTCACCTACTCCTCATGTTTTCAATTTTTATAACATATTATAAATTATAAATATTTCAATATTTATATTTCAGTATTTATAAAAAGCATTCTGTGAAAACCTTAAGTCAAGGGGTCACTGTGGACATGAATATGGTTCTAACTGTGCTAAGTAGAACATTGTGACTTGAAATATAAGAGGAATAAATGGTAAAAAGCATGAAATAATACAGACTGACAGAGTTGGAAGGGACCTAGGAGATCTTCTAATCTAGTCCAACCCCCTTGCTCAAGAAGGAGAACCTATATTATAATATATAATGAAATGGAAGAAATAAAAATAGGCAAAAATATAATAGATCTGAATGACTGATTTAAGTCTTGTGTGGAGTTGATGAATACATGTTAGCAAAGCAGGCATTGACGTAATTACAAATGAAAGTGCTGGTAAAAAAAAAAGATGAATTGATGTCACTTATTAGGGATGCTTGGGAAAATTCTACAACATTCTGAATGATTGTGATCCAGGGAAAATAATTAAGTAAAATTAATGGGTGGATGTGAAGAAATGAATAGGTGGGTAGAATTTAATACATTTATGGATAAACGTATAAGAAAGTGTGGTCTGAATACCGCTGAGTGGGATGTGAACACATGTCCTTTGGTGTGCAGACAATGTTGTGTTATTGGCTGCGAACCCAGATGATTTGCAGCAAATGTAAGATTTGTGAAAAGGAACAAGAAATGTGAAACTGCAAATTAATGTGACAAAGAACAAGGTAGTTGGAGTGAACAATTGCACATTCTGCATAACTGGTGAAAAGCTAGAAGAAATTAATTTGGGGATCTTGGATGTTTTATGAAAGAGAAATAGAGAAATTTTCAAGGATTGTTTATGATTGTTTGCTGTCCCGAGTTAGTGGTTAGATGGGCAGCTATACAAATTGAATGAATGAATAAATGAATAAATGAATGAAAGAAAAACAGAGAGAGAAAGCTAATGGTTATTACTGTTTATTAAGAGGATTAATGCAGGATTTCCCAATCTTAGCAACTTTAAGATGCATGGACTTAAAGACCTGCTGGCTGGGGAATTCTGGGAGTTGAAGTCCACACATCTTAAAGCCACCAGGTTGGGAAACCCTGACTTGGTCTTTGTCGAAGAATGCAAAGGTATCATCAGTGTGTGTCTTTGCTGACTTTCCTTCCAGAAATCAGAGTTGATATATGTCAGAAGAAACATCAAGAGCAGTTGAACACAAGGAAGGCACTTAGAAAAACTTGTGTTACAATAAAAAGGGGTCAGGAATGAATGGATATCAAATATTTGTCGGTTGAATAAAAGCAAGCAGCTAGTGGTTTGGCCGTACAGAGAGAACATGGATTGAATTGTGAAAAAGAAATATGTAGGTGGTTGTGTAAATGTACTGCAGGGAGGGATGTTCAGCAAAGCATGTTCATTTGGAGTGCATGAGATTCCCCACAATCCCCAGAGACATAATTAAAGCACAAAAGACAAATTATGCACGGGGTGGGAGAGACCACAATATTTGGTAAGAACAGAAAAGTATGGGCCAGTA